CAACAGAGTAAGATTAGGGAAGGATACTGTACCCATGTCAGGGACATCATATGAAGGGACACAGACAGTGGACTGTGGTAGTGGGGACATGCTAGAACCAAACTGTGTCTTCCTGATGGAGTGTGTGTTTCTGGTATCATAAAACCCTGGCGTGGACGTTTCTTCAGTAGACCCCTGTCTGCTGATGGAATGTGTCCATATTCCTCCTCCCCTTCCAAGTATACACAGATGTGTCTGCCATCCAATTGGAATAGATCTGCCTCATAGGCAAAGACTTCTTCACAGCAGGCTTTCATTAGCTCATGAAGTGGTACCTGCCTCTTAACCTTAAACTGAACCATAGAACCACCTGCCCTGCATCTTCCTATTGGCAAGACCATTGTTCTCAGTTTCCAGTCTTTCCCTGGGTTTCCCGCTGGCCATGGCCAGCACTGGAGTCTCCCTGGAGGCTGCTTTAAAAAAGGACCACGTTCACACTGAAGGAAGACACAGCTAATACCAGGAGCAGCAGCAGAGGGTTGGGCTGGTTGTATACAAGACTGTTGCTTTTTTTCTCCAATACTGAGTTGGACCTAGAGCCTTGTGCAATGCTGGGCAAGTGCTAAGCTACATCCCCAGCCTTCTTTTACTTTTTGTGACAGTGTCTAAGTCTCCAGACTGACCTTGGCCTCACTCTGTGGCCCACACTTACCTTAGACTTGCAATCTTCCTACCTCAGGTAGCTAGAACTACAGTTCTGGGGCACTAGGCCAAGCTAGTTTGGGGATTTGTTTTTGAGACAATCTCCTGTAGGCTGAATTGATCCTCCTGTCTCTGCCTCTCAAATGCACAACCACACCCAATTTAGGCCCAGCCTTGATAGTTTTACACATCAAGACTATTTTGACCACTGGGATACGGTGTGTCAAAAGAAGTCTAACAGTGACATATGCAGATTCGTAATCAGATACTCTGGGTTCAATCCCGGCTTCAGTAAGCAAACCAACCTTCAGTGAGCTGTCTGAATCCTAGACACTCTGCACTCTTCATCTATAGAATAGGGATCACTATCTCTCTTTAAAAGCTGTGCTAAATGAAATAAACTATTTATCTAGTGACTGTTGGGTGTAGAAGGAAGTAAGATGAACAGGACTCAGTTCCTATCCTCCAGTTGCTCAAAAGACCCTAGTGGAACTGGAGAGAGCCAGTCTAGGAAGCAATAAATCCAACAGAGAGAAGCTCGAGGTTTTGGGTCAAAGAGTAGGCAATGGTCACATCCACTGAGAGACTTTAAAGAAAACGTCCTGAACAGGAATAGGAATCCTATGTAGTGGAATGGACAAACAAAAAGACACAGGGCTGTACCCAGGTGTCCTTCTGTGGACTAGAAGCTGCATGCTTCTCTCAAGTATGACTGAAGTCATAGGGAACGGAGGATGCCATAGGGTGGGGGAGCTTGTGAGGGGCTCAGACTCTGGAGCCAGGTTGCCTGGAGCATGAGTTGTGGTTTGTTGTGGGAAGTCCTTCTTCTATGTGTTACTTTTATTGGTTAAGGAATAAAGAAGCTGCTTTCGGCCAATGGCTTAACAGAACATAGCCAGGCTGGAAAAGAAATATAGAGAGGAGGTGGAGTCAAGGAGAAGCCATGTAGCCCTGCCAGAGACAAGACATCAGACAGAACCTTGCCGGTAAGCCACAACCACATGGCAATTAACAGAAAATTGTTAAATTAATATGTAAGAGTTAGCTGATAAGAAGCCAGAGCCAACAGACCAAGCAGTGATTTAAGTAATAGTCTCTGTGTGGTTCTTCCCGAGCAGAGCAGCAGGGAACAAACAGGTGGCCTCCTACAACAGTGGCTCAGGGGCTTACAGTGGTATAATCTTGGGTCTAGGCTATAGATACGAATAACTTGCATCGGTATGGATCTTGGTTTATTGATACAAAATTGAGGTTAATTTTGTTATATGTATATGTATTTCTGGTCTTGATTAAGGTATTGTGTCTGTGTAGCTCATTTAATTGATATAAATTTAATACAAATTTAATTGTGTAGCTCATTTAAAAATGTAATGAATAATTAAGAAATATAGGTTAATAAAAAAATCATCTATAATAGTCAAGCTTGTAGTCATGTTAGGTTTTCTAGATGTATAGAGATATATTTCAGTTAGGTATTCTTCAAATCTTTCAGAGACCTTCAGAATATGGCATTTAAAATGTTTAAGAACTTAAAGACTTTTCATGACAATGACACACGTCTGCTCCTGGCAGCACCAGTTACTTCAAGAGGAAGATGGGCATTGAAGAGGCTCCTTATGGAGTTTGCTAGCCATTTGAGAAAAAAAAAAAAAAAAAACTGCTCTTGTCTAGACTGGACATGCAAGACCCACAGAAAAATGACTGCTGAACTTGCCTAAATATGAGATGATCCTTTGGGGTTCCTGCTTCATGAGAGAGTCTGCCAGACATTCTGCAGGACACAGAAGAAAGTGATTGACAAACTGACAATATAGGCAGAACTGTCTTTGAGATTTCCCGCTTCATGAAAAGTCTGCTGGATACTATGGGCCAGTAGGCTGAAGATGTATGCCCCAATGTTACAGAAGACCTTCGATTATCCAGGCAGCAAGATGTCTCTAGCAATTCTACAACTTTGTAAGTTGCTTACAATGTTCTTCCTGTTTACTTAGGTAATATTATATCCTTCTTGAGTCTTTGATGAAGTTAAAGAATAGATAGTTAATAATAGTTTCTCTTAGTTATGATAAAAGTAGATATAAATGTTCTAACTGTAATTATCACTTGATACCTGTTTTGTTGTATGTAATTTTACTATGTTAAAGCCTTCCTTTTTGTTTAAACAGAAAAGGGGAAATGGTGTGGGAGGTTCTATGTGTTGCTTTTCTTGGTTAATGAATAAAGAAACTGCCTTGGCCTGTTGTTAGGGTAGAACTTAGGTAGGGAAGACAGAACTGAATGCTGGGAGGAAGAAAGCAGAGTCAGAGAGATGCCATGGACCTGCCGCCAGAGATGGACATGCTGAAACTTTGCTGGTAGGCCATGACCACGTGGTGATATACAGATTAATAGAAATGGATTAAATTAAAATGTAAGAGTTAGCCAATAAGAAGTTAGAACAAATGGGCCAAGCAGTGTTTTAATGAATATGGTTTCTATGTGATTATTTTGGTTGTGGGCGGCTGGGTCAAACAAGCAGCCTTCCTGTTACAGGCCTAGTAGTAACCTCTCTATTCCTCTGAAGAGAGAGTGTGATGATGCCTATGAGGAAGTTATGGAAAGGAATTAACAAATGAAAGTTTATTAAAGTGCTCAGTATCGTGGCTAATACACGAACACAAATTAAGTGTCCATTGAATTTGGCTGCTAAGATCAGTCATCATCTTACCACAAACAGGACTATGGAAGCAGAAAGAATGGTATGGTTTCCGGAGAAGGCTAGCAAAAGCGGGCCTAGCTACCGGTTGTTTAAACCAGAGCTCAACTGAAGGGTCCTTGGGGAGCATGGCCATGCAAATGCCACATATAGATGCTGCAGGCTGCAACCCACCCAGAGGGTAACCTTCGGCACACATCACATCATCATACATGTCTCCATGCCCCAGTGGGTGGCTCTAATGCCCCAGTCAAGTTTAGGTCTTAACCCAGATGCTGGACCAACATCAGGGAACATGAAGAGGTGATCTTTTACACAATGACAAAACATGCATTTATTATAATACATGCATGAACTCCAGTTACTCAGTAAAACTATCACCTTACCAAGATAAAGCTGAGATTAAAAGCAAACTTGTAGCCATTATTCACAGTGATTCCTGTGCTTTTCCCAGCAGTAAAATAGCCATATCAAGCTTAGGAACTTGGAAGAATCCTACAGCAATCTTGAACGCTAACAGTTAAACAATACCATGCCTTGCCTAATTACTGACTTTTAACAAACATCTATTTGTGGGCTAGCAAGATGGCTCAATAAAAGCACTTGCCATTGGGTCTGACAACTAGTCCTCCAGAGTCCATATGGACAATTCCTGAAAACTGTCCCCTGACCTACTCATACACATATAAGACAAATAGTAAGTACAATTTTAGCTAAAGAGAAGTATTTGGTGGGGAAGAGTTGAATTAACTTAATGATATGAGTAATCTTAGGTGTGTCAAGGATATGGCTATTTATAATTTATGACTTCCCTTTATATAAACTGATTGTACAATTAATACTTAATCTAACCTTGTTTTGTCTATGACTTCTCAACAGTTGTCAATTGGATATGGTTAACAGCTGTTGTCAACCTAGGCGTGCTTGGTGTTGTGCTTCCCTCTAGTGGTGAATAGAGAAAATTACTTCCTTAAGGGTTTTTAAAGACTCTTGAAATTTGTTGCTACACTGCTTTTACACACTTTATCTGTAAACTGTCTGAAATGCTTTCTGTGATAACACAAAGTTTAAATAAATAGGTTAAAATTTTATAAGTGTTTACAGTGTTTCAAGGTCAAAATGTGAGTTGGGAAACCCATCTGCCTAGATTCAAATCCTAACTCACCTAGTAAGTTGTGAGGTCCTGGGAGATTAACTGGGCTAGTAACGCCTATGCCCAGTTTCTCATCTACTGAGTGAGGTTAACAAAAGTCTACCCCACATTGTTGATGTGGGGACTGAGAGAGTCAACACAGGGGAAACACTAAGGCTAGTCATAAGTGCCTTTCAAAATTCAGAGACCCTGCTGAATGATAAAATTTTAATAAATAAAAGTAATGGGCAAGTTAGGCTCTTCTGAAATCAGAGAACCGGCAAAGAAGGTGGGTGCTGCGTCCACTAACACACACTCTACCTCCTGCTCCCTGGCTGTAGCCGGGCTAAAGCATGTAGGGAAATATGCAAATTTGTGCATCACACTGGCATACACAAGAGGAGAGAATGTCTAATTACACAACTACCTCTCACAAAGAAATCAAGACTTCATAAAATAGTAAGAATATAACGAATTGTTATAAAACTCAACCAAATTCAAAAGATAAATTTATTATACAATCTATTTACAAAAAAAGGGGGGGGTACAAATGTGATAGAGAACAAAGGAAACATGCCAGGCATATGTACACACAGAGCCAGTGTGGATGAACATGCCAGGCATATGTACATACAGAGCCAGTGTGGATGAACATCCCAGACTTATGTACATACAGAGCCAGTGTGGATGAACATCCCAGACTTATGTACATACAGAGCCAGTGTGGATGAACATCCCAGACTTATGTACATACAGAGCCAGTGTGGATGAACATGCCAGGCATATGTACATACAGAGCCAGTGTGGATGAAACTTTTCAAGAGTCTATTTCTACTTGCAGCACCTGACAGTCAAAAGAATTTATTACCTCAGTTTTAGAAAGTTCAGTCTTACATGACTAAAACTATGACTTTCTTAAGGAAAAGAATTATCTTTGGCTCACAGAAAATCTCCGAGTTGCTGAAGGTCAGATACACCACATCATACTGTTGTTCCTGAATCGACACCACCAGGTGCCCACTTTCCGATGCAATTACACAAGTTTTTTTTTTTTTTTTTTTTTTTATTGTTTGACAGGCTTACAAGGAGGGGCTGCTTTGTCCCACACACCCACACAGCGGATGAGGAAGAAAGGTCCCGCACTCACAGTGCAAAGGTTCTTTTAAGGGAAAAACTGCAAGCCTTGGCATTACTGGATTGGGTAGGGGGATAGTTGGCTCTAAGTCAAGAGGGGATTTTTGTAACTTTATAAAACCACCCAGTAACTGTAAAAAAAAATAAAATAAAAAATTAAAACAACTTGTCTGTCTAGCTTCTTGATTGGCTGTCCTCAAGTCTCTGGGCAGCCAGGCAGTTTTTGGGCCTGTTGTGGCTTTTTTTCTAAATTTACAGGTACTTGGGGTAGGGTGCCTGCTAGGTTAGACTCTCACAAAGACTGGGCCTGGGTTTAAAAAGGCTTTAGTCTTGTCCCCTCAATAGCGACTTACAAAGGCACTTAAGTAGGAAGCCATAATTGTTTAGGGAAATCACTGTCACATGCATTCCATTTTCAGTAGCACGCACACAGACCTGACTCTCTTCACAGCCAGCTAACTGCCAGAACTTCCAGAACCAGGGACAAGTATCTGTAAACGTCTTCCTCAGGCTGAGCACAGACGGGTCTCAGGACACGGTCTAGTCACCCTATCAGAGGTTGTGATTCTCTGAAAGGCAGCAGAAGATACCACGGAGCATTTCTGCATCTATCTCTCCGAGTGTAGGCCCAGCTTTCACTTCTGATACCTTGAATAACTTCTTTTATATTACCAGTTCTTCCCTTAGATCGCTGATTTTCTGTTGGAGAAATGTGACATCAAAACTGAAAAAAAGCAAATGTTTAAAATGGAAATTACTAAAATGTTAAAAAGGAAAAAGGAGAGAAAGCAAAGAGCCAGGTAAGAATAAAGGACTAGATGACCTTAGAGGTCAGGTTTAGTTCCTTCCAGAGCACATAATGAGAGTAATCTATGTCAGGAGCTGTGCTCCAAGCTGAGGACTCATTTCAGAAGCAGGAAGGATTTTTGTTATTGCTTGCTCATTCCCCAAGTATCTCCATCTAAGATATGGTTGACTCACATAAGCAGAGCACATGGCTACAGAGGCACCTTCCGCTGTAAACAGCCACGTGCTACACAAATGTTAGAATTAAACTCCTACTTCAGACACAGTCTCATTCTTAAGACACAACTTGTAATTACAAAAAGAACTACTTTTTGCCTTCCTTGTTTTGTTTGAAGGAGGGCAGGCATTTTGTTGGTTTGTTTTAGGTTACTGGGCATTGAACCTACTATATCGTGCATGTTAGCCTGGCACACTACCACTTAACTAGATCCCTAGCCCTGCATTTCATATATATATACACACCATCTTCTGAGTACACACACAGTGACAACCTCATGGAGCGCAACTGACAATGTGCCTTCCTGGAGGACACACACCTCCCACACTGTTGTGCTATTTGAGCAGCTGTAGGATTTCAGTTTTCCAGTCTCTCTCTGCTCCAGGGCACTTGAGTGCTATCTACTGATTTCAGAAGCTGTCCCTCCTCCAGTCCTCTTGATTGCAAAGGATTTATTCTGTCTGACCTCAACTAGACACGCATGAAAACCATCCACCCCTTAAAGCACACCTTCTTATGCATCCAATAAACACTACTTTAAAGACAACGCTGATTCTGGCCAAGTGGCACAAGCCTTTAATCTCAGCATTCAGGACACAGAGGCAGAACTCAACATAGTGAGTTCTGGGCCAGTCAGAGCTACATGGTGAGCCTATCTCAGAGGGAAAAATAGGGGTGGAGATGACTATTATCCTGTTTGCTTTAAAAAAAAAATGCAGGGTTAACATTCCATTCAACTAAATAATCCAAACCCTTCCTGTTTGATGGCTAACATAATGGAGTATTCACATGCAGCATGGTTAGGCTGACTCCATGCACAGCTCTTCCCTAGTCCTTAGCATTTCTAATATCTCATTCACACTACAGATAGCAACATCAACTTAGCACCTACCTAGGGCAAATCATTATAAGCATGTGCATCTGTATGTTTCAAATCATCTTTATTTCATGATAAGCTAAAAGCATAAAAAATAATAATGCAAAGTTGGCAAGAAAAAAAGGTTAGCATTAAAAAAACAAAACTAATGGATAAGCCTGCCATAGCAACTCACAGCTCTGTTCTAGCACTTGAGAGGCTAAAGGAGGAAGATTTCCCCAAGTCTAGGCCAGCCTGGGCCATCATGTAAAATCTCACTGCAAATAAATAATAGAAAACAATAGTGCATAAGTTATCCAATAGAGATACTTTAAGAGAATCTGTATGGATGCAGAGCCCATCATCAATGCATGGTTGAGAAAGCAAGTAACGCTTTAGTCCACAACTCACCCTCGACGTCTCTGGACTAGAAAATGGAGAACACTCCCAAGATCTATTTTCGTTGTCAAAGGAATCATCCTGAAATGCAAACTTCTTCTTAAGTGCATTGGATATTAAAGACACTGGATCCCATTGTAAACTCTGTCTTTTCTTCTGAATGGGTCTACCACCTGGTGACCTAGTTTTTAAAAAACATAATCAAATATATTAAAACTTTAATGCAATTTTAGCTCTTTGTTCACAAACATAGCAGGAATATGAGCATAATATATTATAATCTAATTAATCTTTAAGAGATTTCTGCCATGAATTAAGGAATCTAAAGAGTACTAAGAATTCAAAATTAGAAAACCAAGAAACCACATAGGTTGGGGTGTCCCGCTGCCTGTCATGACCCAAGGCTCCTCATTTTCACTACTACAAACCAGGCTGGTTGGACTTGAACTTAAGATCCTGCTTCTGCTGTCCAAGTACAGAAAGTATAGGTATGTGCCGTGATGTCCAGCACCACTGAAGAAAATGTAAAGAAATCTTCAAGAGCTAGGCAAGGTAACACACACCTTTAATTCCAGCACTCAAGAGGCAGACACAAGCAGATCTCTAGGCCAACCTGGTCTAAAAAGAGAGTTTCAGGACAGCCAGGGCTGTTACACAGAGAAACCCTGTCTCCAAAAACAAAACAAACAAACAAACAAAAAAAAACAATGAAAGAAAGAGAGAGAGAGAGAGAGAGAGAGAGAGAGAGAGAGAGAGAGAGAGAAAGAAAGAAAGAAAGAAAAAGAAAACTTTTAAGAATGTTTAAAGGATCAGGTTCTATCTATGAAAAGAACATCATTTAGCTAGTCGTTCATTACTTTGATCATTCAGTCAGTCTTCATTGAATTATAACTATTTAATCAGGCTACTTCTGGAACTTTCCACTGAAGGGTGACCAGTATCAGAGAAAGCAAAATGTTGGGTAAAAGGAACTACTGTATTCCTAATTCTTTACAATTAGGAATAAATTGGAGTAAATATAATTACCATACCAGAAAAATGTGAAGTATGGTAAGACAATAAGAGAAATAGTCAAAATAGAACTAAAAGTGATTGTCTCCCAGAGGGTGGCCACAGGAGGTAAGGAGTAAGAGACACACACCAACTCTCAAACAATTTCTCTTAAAACAATTGATAGAATTTCAGTTCCTTCCCCAAATGTTGGTGACATACCTTTCAATGGGACGGAGTTTGACCTTATTCATGTCCTTTAGAACATCCAGCATGTTTGGAACGTCACTAACTCCACGGCTTTCTGAGCAATGGCTACCGCTCATCTTGTGAACACCTGAGTGCTGCTTTCCCACAGCAGGTGTTGGGTCATCTCTGCTAGCAGATCCATGTTGCACAGGGGGAAAACATGGCGGGAGAGAAAACTGAGGCAGAGGTGGTGGAGGAGGAGGAGAAGAAAATACTGAACTTGGAGTGTGATCTGGCTCCTCACTCAGGCCAGCAGTCAGTGATGGCGACAGCGTTTGTTCCATGCTGGGTTCGTCACTCAGGTCACAGAAGCCTAAAGCAAAGTAGTCTGTTGAGAAACCAAAACCACACACAGTTCTCTGCAGCATAGCACAGAGAGCCAGTGCAAGTCAAATGACAGTGGCCTCTGGGACGCTGCTCAACTACTGCAAGGCAGCCAAGAAAGCAAGCCAATTCCGTCTGCCGAGCAAGCCCGAAGAGTGGCCGTCTGAAGGGTCAGCTCACTCCTAATCCGGTCAGGACGTCTCAGGGCACACCCTAAAGGATGCAGTTTAAAGAGGAAACTGATTCCTAAGAATCCACAGAAAATCTCAGCTTCACTCTCCGGTTTCAAAGCAAACGCTAACAACTTCTAGTTAGAAGTACTCAAACTGATGTACCCGCTCTAAGATGACATTTGAGAAACAGGTGCTGTCCTGAGATGAGCATTTAACTTTCTCATAAATCTGCTCCTGAAGAGCTGAGAATAAACATCCTTGCTTAAAAACAAAGGGTATACTCATATGATCATGTTATTTGTATATTGTGCACACATAAATACATATGTAAAATTTTAGTATTCATACTTACACATAACACCTCACAACCAAATCAGCTGTGAGAAGAACTCACTACCTATATAGCTTAGGTCTCAAAGTTTTTAAAAAAAAAATTTGTTTTTATTGTTAATTATGTATGAGGGAGAATGTGCATATGAGCACAGGTGACCTTGAAGGGCAGAAGATGATGTCAGATTCCCCTTCAGCTGGGGATACAAAGGGTTATGAGTCACCCAATATGGGTACTAAGGACCAAATTGAGGTCCTCAGGAACACCAGTATGTGCTCTTAACTACTGAGCCTTCTCTCCAGACCCTAAATTTTATGTTTAAAACAAGATACATCTCCAAAAGCTTAAAAAAAAAAAAAAAAAAAAAAAGAATCTGTAAAATATTCCCCTGTTGGGAAAAAAAAAAAAAAAAAAAAAAAAAAAAAAAAAACCTGAAGATAAGCCAAAAAGATGGTTCAGCAGTTACGAACACTCGCTGTTCTTACAGAGGACCTGGAGTCAATTCCCAGGACCCACAGGACAGCTCATCACTGTTTCTGACACTAGTTCCAGAGGGTCTGATGTCTTATTCTAGTCTCTGTAGGCATCAGGTGTACATGTGGCACATATACATGAAATACACATGAAATAAAGTACTTTTTAAAAAAAAAAATTACCCACAGACTAGGGGCTGGATAAATAGCTCAACTGTTAAGAGCACTTGTTGCTCTAGGACTGGAGTTCAGTTCCCAGCACCCACAAATTTTTATAGCTCACAAATAATTATAACTGCAGTTGCAGGGGATCCAACGCCCTCTTCTTACATCTGTGGATAGCAGGTACATACATGGTGCACAGACATACATTATAGCCAAATATAAAATAAATAGGACATAAAATAAATATAAAAAGATAAAAATAAAAGCAATTAGACTATAAATATACATGGTCTCAAACCTATTGCTATTCATTTCTTCCTCTTTAATCTCCACTTTTCTTTTCTTTTTAAAAAGTAATAAAGAGCACTGACTACTCTTTCAGAGGACCCCGATTCAATTCCCAGAACCCACATGGCAAATTCAGTTCAAGGGGTTCTGAAAAACTCATACACAGATACAGAGGCAAAAACCAATTCACTTAAAATAAAAATAAATATATAATTTTAAAAAATTAGAAAAATAAAAATTATTTATTAGTTTGGGGAATTGGTACTAGTTTTTTTATTTTGTCTTGTTTTGGCATTTCTGAAAAGGATTTTCATGAAGCCTACGCTAACCTCAAACTCTGCTGCTACAGATGACCTTGAACTTTTAGTCCTCCTGTCTCTACATCCCAAATTCTAGAATTAAACACAATCATGCCATTTTATGTGATACTGTGGATTTAACTCAAAGCCTTGTGAACAGGAGGCAAGCATTCTATCAACTATCCCCAGGATTAGTTTTGGTTTTTGAGACACGGTCTCACACTACAGCCAAGACTGGCTTAGAACTCAAGTCAATCCTTCTGCCTCAGCCTCTTGAATTCTCGAGTCACAGGCATGGGCCACCAAGCCTGGCTTCCAGTTCCTTGCTAAAGAATTAAAAAGGCTTACTTCCAAGTCATGACTTCTTAAACAAAGACCTTCAGTGGCACAGCTAACTCTTGTTTGCAGCCCTTACTTTCCTATGGCAGTCAGCCTCTAGGACGTATCTACTGCTGTTTGTGTTGAGAAGGATGCTGACTTAGGGATCAGCTCAGCCTCACTCTCCACTACTTACCAGTCTCTTCGCTCTCTCTCCGCTCCTGCATTGCCACAATTGCAGCAATCTGAGCCCGAAGAAAAGTGAGCTCATCTTCAAGGGCAGCTATTTTTTTAATTGCAGTCTCACTTGCTGGCAGATCATTTTTCACTGGTTTGTTCTGTCTTAGAGCAGGTGACAATGGATCCCAAATTAGTTTTGAAGAATGAAAAAGAGCAATTTTCCCTTCCTCCTCCTTTTTCTGTAGACCATGTCTGTGGGTGAAAGGAAAGAAGAAACAAAGGGAGGAAAACGTTCAACTAAAGAAAAAAAAAACTCAGGTAGGCATGGTGGCCCATGCCTTTAATCCCAGTACTTGGGAGACAGAGGCGTGCAGACCTCCGAGTTCAAAGCCAGCCTGGTCTACACAACGAGTTCCAGAATAGTCAAGGCTACACAGAGAAACCCTGTCTCAAAAAGTGAGAGACAGAGAGAGATAAAAAGAAACAGGGAGAGAGAGAGAGACAGGGTTGGTTAAGAGCCCACTGTTCTTGCAAAATTAGTTTTTTGTTTAGTTTTTCCTTTTGAGACAGGTTCTCATGAAGTCCAGGCTGACCCAGCTCTCAGAATAGAAGTTGATGGAGGTGGGTCATCTGTCTAAGTGTTACTTTCATTGGTTAATAAAGAATCTGCCTTGGCCCTTTGATAGGACAGAAAATTAGGTAGGCGGAGTAAACAGAACAGAATGCTAGGAGGAAGAAGGCAGTGAGACAGACGCCATAGCTCTCCTCTCCTGATGTGGGAGTGTCATATATCAATCTGTTGATTTCATTGGTTAAGCAATAAAGAAACTGCTTGGCCCTGATATTTAACCTGATAGGTGGGAGGAGTAAACAGAATAGGATGCTGGGAGGAAGAGGAAGTGAGCTCAGACTCTGCTCTGCTCCCGGAGAGACTCAACAGCTCTGCTCTCTGGAGCAGAGACACCGGGCTCTGCTCTCCCAGGCAGCTCCAACCCAGGATGGACGTAGGCTAGAATCTTCCCTGTAAGCGCACCTTGGGGTGCTACAAACAATTATTAGAAATGGGCTAGTCCAGGTGTGAGAGTTAGCCGAGAAAAGGCTAGATATAATGGGCAAGCAGTGTTTAAAAGAATACAATTTGTGTGTTGTTATTTCGGGCATAAGCTAGCAGGCGGCTGGGGTGCTGGGGACGCAGCCCCGCTGCTCCTATTTCAACACTCTCCGAGATGGATGCAGGTTAAGATCTTTCCTGGTAAGCCACCACCTCGTGGTGCTACACATATTATTAGAAATGGGTTAATCAAGATGTGAGAATTAGCCAATAAGAGGCTGGAACCAATGGGCCAGGCAGTGTTTAAAAGAATACTATTTCTGTGTAATTATTTCGGGTGTAAAGATAGCTGGGTGGCAGGACACAGCCCGCTGCTCCCACCATTACACCAAGTCAGGCATTTCAATCCTGTAATCCAGCCCCAGGAACCCACAGCACCTGCATTCACAGTCATTCTCCCTCCCCCACTACATACACATGACAAATAAATTTCTTAAGGAAAAAAAAATGGGCTGAGATGTAGCTCAGTACAGAGTATTGCCTAGCATGTGCAAGGCCCTGGATTTAATCTCTAGCACACAAATATAAACAAGTTAAATAAATCAGAGTACCTCTCTGACCTGAGATGATCCCTAGATTCACCAAGATAAAGCACCTCATATTATTCTTTACTTTTGTATTCATATATAGAATGCACGGCCAATAAGCAGCAAGGAAATGAGAAAATAAATCTTTCCTCAAATTGTAAAACAAAAATAGTTAACCTGTAATTGCTTTACTGATTAACTTTAAATAGTGTAAGTTTATTCAGAAATTCTACATAATTCTACATAAGTTCTGAAGGGTCTTGCATTTAGGATTATATCAGGGTCAGTTTATATCTTCTAAAATTTTAAAAATTAATAAACCAGCAGGATATCTAATAAAATTAATAAACCAGCTGGATATCTAATAAATTTAGCTAGAATCTTTGACTAATTGACATTCAGGATGCTAAAAGCCTCTATATGAATATTCTAACATATTAAGTTGGCATTTCCTAGGAATATAAATACATCCAAAATTTGAAATATAGTCCACTTCAGTCAGTATCCGTGGAGTACTGTTTCAGGAACCCTACAGACACCAAAAGCCAATGCTCAAGTTCTTTATATAAAATGGCACCTATGCATATCCTTTGCTCAAATTATCTCTAAAATACCTAAGATACCCAATACAAGACCTTTATGTTACATCATTTTTGTAAATATAGCAAAGTATCTAAAATACAACAAAGTCAAGTTTTTGCTTTGGGGAAATTTCTGGAATTTTCTCTCTAAACATTTTTCATCTATAATATTTGATTTCATTGGTAGAACCCATATGAGAATCTATGGATAGAGTCCACATGGAAACCATGAGAAAGGGCTGAATGCATAAATCTAACATTTATTTCTAAATGCTTTATTTATAATACATAAAACAATATTAACAGGACCCTGAGACCCACCTGATAACCCACTGACTCCCTAGACCTGGCTTTAGGTATAAATATGATCAAGCCTTCAGGGCTCTGCTGACAACTTGGTCTCATTCCACCTGCCCTGGAGCTCACCCAATCACCCACATAGCCAGCCTTGATCAGCAATCCCAGGACTTCCTAGCCGCTCTGAAACCAGTTCAAATATGGTAACAGGAAAAAAAATAAAAAATAAATTAAAAAAAAACTACTCAACAACTCAACATAGGTAGAATACAACACTCCCATCAATTCCACAGCCTAACTCCAGATGCCCAAGGTCCACTGCAAAAGTATAAGCGACATGAAACATCAAGACAATATGCCCTCCAAATATCACCAATCCTACAGTAATATTCCTCACCAAAAAGAATTCAAATGAATCTCAAGACAAAGAATTTTAAGATTATAAAGAGTTCAAAGACTTTGAACAGGAAACAAACATCTAAATAAAGTTAAAGAGGGCTAGAATAAATTCCTGATTGAAGTCCAAGAAAACAGAAACAAATGAAATAATGAAACAATTTAGGAGATGAAAAATGAATTCAACAGAAAGACTGAAATATTAAAGCAAATACAAATGCAAATGAAGATGGAAATGAAAACTTCAATCACCCATTGCAAATACTCAGTGGACAGCCTTACCAAACAACAGATGGGGCAGAAAGAGAGAGAGAGAGGAAATGGACCACAAAGTCAAGTAAATGGTTGTTAAAGAAAAGAACACAAGGGAACTTTGGGAGAAACTAAAGAGAGAAAATCTGTGACTCATGAGAATAGAAGAATGCCAAGCCAAAGGCATACATCATCCAATAAAATCATAGAAGAAAATTTCTTAACTTATGGAAATAGGGACAAAAAGAAATTCCCCAGGCCACATTATAATAAAAACACTGAATATACAGAAAAAAGAAAAGATATGCAACTTTCAAGAAAGAAGTTACAGCCAGGTGGTGGTGGTGAACACTTTTAATCCCAGCACTCAGAAGGCAGAGGCAGAGGCAGAGGCAGAAGCAGAGGCAGGAGGATCTCTGTGAGTTTGAGGCCAGTCTGGTCTATAAGAGCTAGTTCCAGGACAGGCTCCAAAGCTACAGAGAAACCCTGTCTTTGAAAAAAAAAAAAAAAGAAAGGAAGGAAGGAAGGAAGGAAGGAAGGAAGGAAGGAAGGAAAAGAAGTTACAATTCATATAAAGGCAAACCCATTAGAATACCAGTTGACTTTTCAATGGAAATTTTAAAAGCCAAAAGATCTTGGAGCAATGCACTTCCAGTCCTAAAAGGCAGCCCTCCACCCATGCACACGCAGATACCATTAACTGGGCTAAATAGATTTTACATCCACAAACACACACACACAAAAGCACACACACATGTGCGCGCACAGGACAATATGAAATTGGGAAGAGAGTGGAGAGGATATATGAAGAATTGGAGTAGAAGGGTGAGGGGTAATTTGATAAAAATAAAATTCATTTGTGTATGAAACGAAGATATAATTTTCAAAAATTTAAATGCAAAATGTAATTTTGAACATATACACTAAAAAATGAGATGCCATTCCTACATTAGGAAAATATCAGGACATAGCATGTCACAAAAACAGAACAAAATTGTCCAGTCAGTAGGAACAAACTTCAGGGCATGCAAGCATTCACATTTTAGACTACACCCACATCCCAAGACATGCATATAAAATTACCGAAATCTGAGATAACCGGCTTCTTCATCATTTGCCACACACAAAACATCAGCAAAAGATGGAACAACAGGTTCATAACCATCAGACTCCTCAGAGTTCAAGTGAGGGATCAACTAAAACAAAAATGAAAACAAAGTCAGAGCTCCATCGGGAATCAGGGAAAGCACATGTCTCATACTTCATCGTATTAAATGATAACAGTCTGAAACAGAAAAGGGAAAACACTGGAGTCATGTTACTTTACTGCCTAAGCAAATAACAGCATCTTCTCCCATGGCTAATCTCATCTATGCACAGCAGAAATACAAATAAAGTAAGGTAAGAACAAGCTCCCAGGTATTCTTTGTACCTGCCTTTGGATGTGATTCAAGAAGCAAACGTGTGAGATGACTTATTTCCAGCAGTAAAGGTTCTTGGCTTGCAGGCACATCTCCTTTCCTTCTCCCCTATATCCTGGGAGTGTTCAGGATTATTTTACACACAGGACTTAAACAACATATGGTGACCAACTTACCTCAAAATTAGGTCTTCGACAAGGTTCTAAAGGAAGCACTCTCCCAATCATACGAATGATACTCCGAGCTGACCCATAGTCTTTATTTTGCCAAATCAACAAATCCTATAAATAAAGCTTTGTTTAAATACACTTCAGCTAAATATGTTCATATTTATCTAAGAAAAAGAGATTCAACAGGTGTAGTAGCATTTATGTAGTCAAAGAAAACATAATAGCATTCTTTTAAAGTGTCTTCCTTGAAGAATTAAACTTTATTAACATTTATCTTGGAAAACAGTTTAGTCAATAAAGTTCACCATGGATACTGATATCCCAAATTTGATATCTAGAGTCCATGTAAAAAAGATGGGCATGGGGATGCACTCTGGGAACCCCAGAGCTGGGAATGCAGAGATGGGTGGGTGCCTGAGGTCTCCTGGCTGGACAGCCTAGCTGAACTGGGGAATCTTAGGCCAGTGAGAACCTTGAACCCTGTATCAAAAAAAGGGTGAGGAAAGCTGGAGATGGTTCAGAAGTTAAAAGCACTGGCTGCTTTTCAGAGGTTTGATTCCTAGAACTTACTTGATGGCTCACAGCCATCTGCAGCCCCAGTTCTAGGGGATCTGATGCCTCGCTCTTGTACACAAGTGGTGCAGGCACACATGCAAGCAAAATATACATCAAATTAAAAAAGAAAAAGGAGTGAAAATCCTCAGGAATGACCCGTGGCCTCTACTTCATACATATGCAAACCCATTCTCACTCAGACTGGATATATATCTGTGGTGTGTATATATATATATACATATATATATATATATGTATATATATATACACATATGTATGTATGTATGTATGCAGGGGTGTGTCTATCTCCACCCCAGCACTTGGGAGGCAGAGGTTGGATGATCTCAAGCTTGAGACCAGGCTAGTTACAATAAAGACCCTAGCTCAGATACCTAACTGAACATCTTGAAGAATGTGATGGCTATTCTTGGTGTCAACTTGACTACATTTGGAACTAAATCCAAAAGTGGAGGGCACAACTGTGAGGAATTTTTTTGCCTAATATGAAGTAGGAAGATACAACTCTACTCTGGATCTTGATGTGGGAAGACACATGCTTTAATCTGGGCCATACTTTCTCCTGGAAGCCTATATAAGGACTTGGAAAAAGGAAGCTTTTGCTCTTTGCCTGCCTGCTCTTGCCTTGTTAGCAAGTCCATTCCTTCACTGACGTGAGAGACTACTTCTAGGATTCCACAGTGTCCTGAAGGCCAGCAGAGGCATCTGGTGGGCTGACCAACATCTGGATTCTTAGACTTCCCATTCACAGCCATCCACTGTTGGATTAGCTCATAACCTGTAAGTCATTCTAATAAAGGGAATAAAGCCCCTTTCTATACATAAAGAGAGATTTATTTATTCTGTAAGTTCTGTTTCTTTAGAAAACCCTGGCTAAAACTTTATGCAGAAAAGTTCTCTCCACCTACAAAAGAATTCCACCTTTTGAGGCAAAAACTGACCATTTCAGCTATGTGTGGGTTTATATATAACCCCAACAACTCAGCAGGCTTAGAAATAGGACTCTTTGAGCCCCAAATTATATGACCAGCCTGGGCAACTTAGGGAGATGAAAAAGAAGAGAAGGCTAGAGATAGGAGAAACATCCGGCAATTTCCAAAAAAATAAAAATAAAAATAAAAGCCATCCAGGGAGTTCAGAAAGTACTTGTTACTCCCTTTAAGAAGAGATGAAAGAACAGTAAATCAGATCCTAAACAACTCAGAGTTGTTTATATATGGCAGCTTGAATATACTGGAAACTGGCTCTTTACAAAGCATTTAAACTGAATGTGCTACTATAACGTAAATATTCTGTCCTTATTAGTGTAAATTATAGCACTCTCCCATTAGGACCCTCATGAGAATATTTTATAAGTAGTACAATCAGTAATCAGATAAAAATAGTCACAATTTTAGAACTCAAAAGAAAACCTGGATTTCAGAATCACTGGCAATCAGGATATGGTCCAGGTGAAAAAGTTGAGATAGAATTTTTTTGAACCTGATATTTCAGACAGAACTCTCACAAATTGCCCAGACTAGGCTTAAATTCAATCTGTACCCCAACTTGAGATCTTCTGGCCTCACCCTCAGGAGGAGCTGGTAGTACAGACTTGGGTCCCCCTCTTTATGTCAATCTGCTCAAACCTAGACACCTGACTCTGACGTGGAGTCTGTCACTAGCCTCAGCCTCTCATCAGCTCTGCCAGCTCGGTCTCCACAGCGCACTCCAGTCAATATTCCTTGTTTAATCATCCTAAGGCCCCTGCTACTGGGGCCTGCTCTGTCTCCAACTTAGTCTCCCACTACTCACCAACAAAATATACATTCTTTGGGGTCAGGCAAATTTTCTCATGCCCAAAACAAGCTGCTATCTAACTGACTTACATTCCCTCACATGCTTAGGAGGCCCTGACCCAACTTTAGCCTCAAGACTGGTTTAGTTTTACCTGTTCCTGGTTACACAAGTCATGCCCTCTTCAAGTTTGATTGTGTCTGTTCTGATACACTTGTAAGCTCTTGTCAGCTGGTCTGAGTATTATACAATGGGACACATCAGTGACAGGAGCCTTTGTTTCGCTTGCAGATTTCTCTCCTCCATTAATATGAGGGCAAGCCCAGACAACTTTTAATTTTATTTGCACCCTCCAGGGGAGTAACAGTCACCGTGGATAGGAGTACCACCCCAGGTGCTCACCAGAAAAATATAATACAAGTACATATATGACATAAGCTACCCGACATTGGGCGCCATATGTCAAGAGTTTCTGCTGTGATCCTAGCTGTGGTGGAGTCCTGCATCCTAGCAGAGGACTGTGAGGATTAGAAAATGTTAAGTAGGAGGGACAGAGATAAGAAAGAATCACAGAAACATAGGGTAGCACCAGGAGGGCAACTCAGTGCCTGCTGCGTACCAAGTTCTGAGTCTGCCCCACGTTTAATTTTCCATACACCTTTATACCCCAATACAAAAATGGGGGGGAGGGCAAAAGACTGCTTTAACATGATACAAAGGACAACTAGAACAGTTACCTGCTTCAATACTTTGAGACATCAAGCCTTTAACTCCGTGAGAAAAGCATTCTGTTGTTTAGGCAGTGAACCCACCCTAGACCAAGTATCCTAAAGGCAGCTACTCCCGGAGGTCAAACCTCCTGTTTCAAAAGAAGCCTGCTTTACTTCTCTGACCTTTGGTCAGGGTGGAGAGGATACACCTCTATTAGCCTTCTTACTGTCTAAAACAACAAGGCTGGGTATGTAGCCACAGTTGCTGTTCTCAACTTTGAGCAACCTCAAACTCTCTGACCTTCAGACAAGATGGAATAGGCTCACATTTTTGGGCCTCCACACATATATTAACATATAATGAATATTTTTAAATTACTAATAAAATTTTACCTTTTTTCATTAGATCTTCAAAATGTGTTATTTTATGCCTATAGCAGAACTTAATTCAAATATTTAAAGTACTTAAATGTGGCATGAGGCTGGGTATCCTGGAATATGCCTGTAATCCCAATACTTGGGTTGTTGGGGTAGGACAGAAAATTAAAAGCCATCCTGGCTTGTATTTTAGCATGTACCAAAACTCTGTATCAAAATTTAAAAGGAAAAGGTAAGGCAGGGACATGTGGCAGTAGCTCTCATATCAGATAGTACAATTTAGAAGAAACAGATCCTAGACCTATAAATATTAGAATTTTGGGAGACCGAAACACGTCTATTGAAAGTACTCTACACTCAGCTGTACAAAGTGTACTTATAATTCCTAAGGACCTAGGTTCAATCCACCCACACCCAAAAAAAAAAAAAAAAAAAAAAAGGGCAGGGGAGATGGCCCAGTGAAGCATGATTAATAAAAACTCAGAGAGAGAAACTGGGATTAACCTAAAAATCTGAAAAGCAAAACAGCCAGACCCTGGCTCTTACCCTGACCTCAGTCCTAAATGGCAATCCTGCCTCCAGGAATCTCAGAATGAGACTGTGTCTGAGAGTTGTCTCCTCCCATCTTATATTCCTCTTTATTACTTGGATTAAAAGTGTGCACCACTGGGATTAAAGGCATGCACTGCCCGGCTTCTACGGCAACTAGTCTGGCCACGGGGATTAAAGGTATGTATTACCACTGCCTAGCTGTAAGGCTGACCAGTGTGGCTGTTTTATTCTCTGATCTTCAGGCAAGCATTATTTATTAAACACAAATGAAATGCCATTACACTTCACACAAATACAAACCCTGACTAAGGCACTCCCTCTGTTGTATCCCTTATTGGGTTTTAACCTAAAAGAGTAAACAGATTACTAACCACCTTGCCAGCGTTTCTAAACTATCAAAACTATCAAAGTTACACTATTGCAAACTCACCTTTCTCCCACCTAAAGAGAAGTAACAATTAAATGTCTACACAGAGGTTTTCTTTCCCTAATGAACTGCATTTAGGAGCCTTGCTCATTCTGAGCCACTGATCTGCATAGCACCAGCCCAACTTGATGGCTTTTTGTTCTGAGATGCAGTCTCACTGAGCTGAGTAGCCCAAGCTGGTCTTCACTCACACTGCAGCCTAAGGAGGCCTTGAATGTGATACCCCCCAGGTCTCGGTGTCTCTTATAACTGAGATTACAGGACTGTACCAGACCCAGGTATTAAGTTGTTGTTCCCTATCTGCTGCTGTGGTCAACACAATGACCAAAAGAAACTTAAGGGAGAAAGAGGTTTACCTGGCTCACACTTCTGTCCTACTCTGAGTTACTATTGTTGTGATGAAACACCGGTGACCAAAAGCAACTTGGGGAGGAAAGCTGTCAAGACAAGAACTTAAACAAAGCAGAAACTTGGAGGCAGGGACTGATGCAGAGGCCATGGAGGAGTGCTGCTTAACGGCTTGCTTTTCCTGCTCTCACAGAACCCAGGACACGGGCCCTCCCCCATCAATCACTAATTAAGAAAATGCTCGACAGACTTGCCTACAGCCTCATCTTATGAAGGCAATTTCTCAATCAGGGTTCCCTCTTCACAGATGACAATAGCTTGTGTCAAATTGACGTAAAACTAGCCAGCACAACCTCTCAGTCCCAGAGGGAAGTCGGGCAGGAAGTCAAGCAGAAACCACTGGGCCATGCTCAGCTAGCTTTCTTGTATACCTCAGAACTCATTTGCTGAAGAATGGTGTTCTTCACAGGCAGCTTTCAACAGTAAAGACAATCTCTTAGAGACAAGGCCAGAGGCCAATCTGACCTAGGCAGTTCCTTGCGGTTCCCTCTTCCCACGAGACTTTAATGTCCAGTCAACAAAAACTAACCAGGGCAGAAAACGTGTTCAAAATGACACACGACAACCCAACTTGATCAGGAGGTGGGGATAGGAGGACAGGGACAGCATGGGCTACAAGATTCCCTGACTCAAAACAACGAGACCCAAGAATAAAGTCAGCAAAATCCAGACATTTAGCCTGTGCTACACTGTTGGTTTCTGCCAAGGCAGCAGCCTGCCTCTACGGCCATAGCAGGTATGTCATCACCTGTCACCAAGTGCCTTTCCACCGTCAGTTGTGCGACAAGTGCATCCCGTAAAAGTTCCTATTAGGCACAGCTTGCTCTTGCCTCTTTTCCTGTTAGCTCTCTTCTTCCTCTTGTTTTTACCCTGTGTGCCTGCCTCTCTCATGTCCCAACTCCGACATGGCCTTTCACGCTACCCCTCTTAAACCTTTGCACTAACTCTGTTGCACGTAGCGTGTTTGCTTACTAGCATACATTAGTAGGGCTGAAAGGTAACCCACTTCACCTTTCTTCATTTATCATTACATACATGATACCTTGCCTTAAAACGACGAGATCCAAAAATAAAATTCATTAGGACATTTACCTGGTCTACAGGAACACCAAAATATGCCAGCATGTTTCTTAATACGCTCAGTAAGAAAGACATTGGTGAAGCAAGTTCAAGGCAACATTGTTCGTTAGTATCCTGGAAGAGAAGTTATTAATAATTACGCTTATAAGTAACAGCCACGTAGATCGCAATAAAGAGCCTAAAGAAGCCACCAACCATCAAGTGACTGCTCCTGGAGAGCGTTTATTTTGAAGGAAGAGGAAGAGAAGAAAATGAAAGTGCACGGGGACGGGAGGTCGGAGAACACTAACAATGAAATTTCACTGTTACGTTAAAACCTCACCGAGTGTTTGTAAAGAGAACCTGCCGAGTCAACGTGCGACAGCCAAGCTCACGGTCCCGGGAGCTCGGTCGCCCCGGGACGTTTTCGGCACCGCACCGCCGCTCTTTTTACACCCGCCCCTCCGTCACCGACCGCTGACCGGAAGCCACGGGGCACGGCGGAGCCCGCGCCGCTCACCTTCCCGCTGCGCTGCACGCCGCCAGGACGTCCGGGACCTTCCAAAAGCGCCGCGACGCCGGTGCGAGGCCGCCGAGGCTCGCGAGCAGAGGCGCCCAGCGGGCTCTGAGGGACAGAACGGGTCTTCCTGGGCCGGCTCGCCACTTCCGCCTCCAGGAACAACTATCAAACTCCGCGGGCCGAGCTCGGCGCTGTCCCCATTGGGCAAGGCTGGAGAACGCCGCTTGAGATTGGACGATCAAGAACCAATAGCCGTCTCAGCGATGCGCATGCGCAGAATGCGGCACAGCGTTTATTAACCGTCTAGGTACCTGCTCTTAGACTTTGATGGGAAGGTATTGTCCCCCCACCCCTTTCCCAGACCTCGACAATGATTCTGCCAACGGACTTGCAGTAGTTTGGTCATTCTGAGGAAATATCTAGCCGTAAGCTAAATGCTAGGATTCCTCATGTTGAGCCGCATTATCCTGTGTAGTTCACCTGTATTTAATGTATATGCACACCCACAAGTGGGTGTGCCTCAGGACCCTTGTGAAAGTCAAAGAAAAATTTGTGGGTCCTCACCTATGTAGGATCCATGGACAGAACCTTAGGTTTGGTAGCAAGCTGCTTTTCCCAGAGTCATTTCACTAACCCTAAGACAAGTTGGAAACACCTTTGAAAGCTGGTGAAAAGCAAAAAAAGTTCTAATTAAATGATCCCGCCCCCCAAAAAGGAACAGAACTGTTTTTTTTTTTCATTGACATAATGGAAAGCAGAGTGAAACACACTGCCTGTGTATCTACAATCCAACCGATAAATTGATGTTTAATTGCTATATATTTAATTACAAAGCCTCAGTTCTAAAGATTTCACAAGCCATGAGGACACGGCATAGTTTTGAACATCTTAAATACATTGTTTTGTTAGGTAATTCTTAATCCTAACCATTTTAGTTGCTAACAATAAAGCATCAACGTGTAAGTGAAACATGTCAAGGAATCTAGACTAAGAAATCCAAACTAGAAAGGGTTGAGCATAAAGTAACACAGCATTTCTGAAAAGAAAACCCAGAGCGCACACATACTCTGGAGGGAGGTGTTGTTTTGGTTTTTGGGGGTTTTTTTTGTTTGTTTGTTTGTTTTGTTTTTTTCGAGACAGGGTTTCTCTGTAGTTTTGGAGCCTGTCCTGGAACTAGCTCTTGTAGACCAGGCTAGCCTCGAACTCACAGAGATCCGCCTGCCTCTGCCTCCCGAGTGCTGGGGTTAAAGGTGTGCACCACCACCGCCGGGCGGGAGGTGTTGTTTTGTGTTCTTGTTTGGCAGAAGTTTTTGGTGATGATGTTTTGGTTTTTGAGACATGATCTCACATTAGCAAAGGTTGAAATGAAACTATTGCCTGAGTGCTGGAATTACTATTGGGTCAAATCAACACAAGTCCTTAAGTCTTAAGTATGTGATGTCTTCATCTCTTAATAGGGACTTACCTTCAATTTTTGAGAGTCAATTAAGAGCAACAGCAATAATCTAGCTTCTAGAGTCTCTTCGATTCACCTGACCAACTGGAAAGGGTGTTTCTCATACCTGGTACTGGGGTTTGTACTATTAGAATTTTTTTAAATATTTATTTATTATGTATACAATATTCTGTCTGTGTGTATGTCTGCAGGCCAGAAGAGGGCACCAGACCTCATTACAGATGGTTGTGAGCCACCATGTGGTTGCTGGGAATTGAACTCAGGACCTTTGGAAGAACAGGCAATGCTCTTAACCACTGAGCCATCTCTCCAGCCCTACTATTAGAATTTTTACATGGCTCTCATGGAAAGCATTATCACTCCATAATTTCATATAAACAATATAAGTAATGTATGCACATACCAATGTACAATATCTAAATTTAGTAAATGTAAAATTCCTTATGACTTTTTCAAATGTTTAGTATTGTTCGGTCCCCCATGTACTCCTATTAACTCCCTACCCCTTCCCAATATAAAGCATACCACCCCACCCCACCCCACTCCACCCCTGCCACTTTTCTCACTTCTTCCTTCAGATCACCTCTAGTACCAAACGAAGCAGGGAGGCCATGCTCCCTGGCAAACAGCCACGGGTGGTCTGAGGTGCAAGAAGCTGTGCCAAGGAGAGCAAGCAAGTTACTGGTATCTAAGCCATTAGGGCTGGCTAGTCAGTCCTTGGAAATGGGGGCTCTGGAGACTGGCAAGCCCCTATTAACTTTTAAAGTAACTATCAGGGTAAAGAGAGCACTGGCTGTTCTTCCAGTGGACCTGTATTGAACTTCAAGCTCATACATGACTCATAGCCAGCCATCTCCAGTTCCAGGAGACCGATGATTTTCAGAGATTGCATTCACATGGTACACGGGTGAACACGGCCATGCATACAAAACTTACACATATCACTTTTGGTGGCTGGAGAGATGGCTCAGCAGTTAAGAGCACAGATTGCTCTTCCAGAGGACCCAGATTCAAGTGCCAGCACCCACATAGACACTCACTACTGTCTATACCTCCATATCTAGGGACCTAACACCCTCATGCATGCAGGCAAACTGTTACCAGTGCACATGAACTTTTAAAAAATTTTTCTAGATTTAACTTTTTACCGATGTTTTAGACACATGTATGTATATGTACCATGTACACATGTACCATGTACACATGTACCTTGGTATTGTTTATGGATGGTTATGAGCCACCATATTTGTGCTGGGAACTGAATTCAGGTCCTCTGGGAGAACTCTTTACTGATGAAGGAGGGTCATCTGTCTAAGTGTTACTTTCATTGGTTAATAAAGAAACTGCCTTGGCCCTTTGATAGGACAGAAAATTAGGTAGACGGAGTAGACAGAACAGAATGCTGCAAGAAATAAGCAGATTCAGGTAGACATTATAGCTCTCCTCTCCAAGATGGACACAGGTTAAGATCTTTCCTGGTAAGCCACCACCTCATCGTGCTACATAGCTTATTAGAAATGGGTTAATCAAGATGTGAGAATTAGCTAGTAAGAGGCTAGAGCTAATGAGCCAAGCAGTGTTTAAAAGAATACAGTTTCCGTGTAATTATTTGGGGTAAAGCTAGCCGGTGGCTGGGAGCTGGGAGGCAGGAAGCGGCCTGCCGCTCCTTCTACATTGCACTCTCTCCAGCCCTCATGTTTTTACTATAACTCTTATCAACTATTTATTTTTTCCCAACTACAGGCAAAAGTGTATCATTTTTTAGTAGTTAGGCACTTGGCACAAGTCTGTAATCCCAGCATATAGGAGGTAGAAGCAGAATGGAGGTGAAGATTAGCCATCTTTTGTGACAGTGATCTCAGGGCCAGTCTGAGTTACTTTCGGTCTTGTTTCCAAGGTTTTTGTTTTTTGTTGAGTGTCTCACTATA